CAAGTACAAAGCTATTTTATCACGTCAAGCAGTATGTAAGCATATATATATATATATATATATATATATTACTACAACTGCGATTGTGAACTACTAAATTTCCAAAATAAATAAAGTCCACCCAGGCCACTGTTCTAGCGAACATCGCATGCCCATTTCGTAATTGTTCCATATAAATGAAAGTAATAGTAATAATAAGCGCTATTGTCGTGTTCAGATCTGTTCATTTGAGTATCAATTGCTGACTATAATGGATATACTGGTAGTGATCTCTGTGCTAACTTAAACCTTAATAACACTACATAGATTAAATAGCTTTATTGCTTCATCATGCTTCTTGGTGCGAACGTCAAACTTAACCGTAAGCACAAACATAGAATAACAAATAAATTAGCGTTCCACTTTACGTACTTTTGTATAGTAATCATAGAAGGAAAAAACAACGGAAAATCGTCGATTGGAGTGCATTTGTTACAAAAACATGAACGTCTCGGCTTGCGGTTACTAGCCTACGAGAGTCGATAATAGCCGCCGCAATAGCTTGTATGCCCAAGCCTTTAATTGCTAAAGGGGAAATCTACGTATTCAGGTAGCAAGTAACAGGATCTATATCCCTGAATTGAACGTTGAACCCTTTTAAGACTCTGTAGGTGCAAATGTCGCATGTACTAAAGACACAGTTTATCTTTACATAGAATAGATGCTTATTAATCTAGACGGTTAAGCTTAGATAAGTATTGATAATACGTGTTTTCTATTAATAGAGATTGACTAATTCGACAAGACGCCTTGGAAACGTTGGGAAAATTTTATTTCTATTACGGACTGCCTAGAAGCACTTGAACAACTTCAACTAATTAAGTTATACCAACTCTTCCTTTTGCAGAACAAAATTAAGGTTGATGGAAAATATTGTGTGTGAAGAAGAAAAAAAAAAAAATATATATATATATATATATATAGAGAGAGAGAGAGAGAGAGAGAGAGAGAGATTTAATTCAAAAACCTGAAAAACACGTAACTAAAATATTGCAGTCTTCTCGCGGGATATACCTATATATATACACCCGATTCGAGAAATGACGAATTGTAAGTGTTATGGAACCATTCAAAGAAGGAAGTTTTCTTCAATTTTTTAAACATTATATTTAGGGCTTGCTGAATCGCTCAATTCGATTGCCTTGATGTTTTTTTATCGTTATAAACAGCACCTGACTCAAAAATCATCAACTCATAGGCTGACGCCTATGTATAGTTCGGTACCTAAAAACAAACCGGTGACCCCAGCATTCGGTCTAAAGAACAGTTTGTAAACGTTCAAAGAGTGTACGAACAATTTCGAACAGCAGCAGATTTAGAAAAGGCAGACAAAACGCCTAGGGGTTCCACTCCTTCTTGGACACAATGGACACACAATAGAAACACACAACACAAATGACCAGTTAAACGCAATGGTTTACATGAAACAAAGTCTCGATTTTCCTAATAGATCCTCTTGTCTTCGTCATCATGATATGCACAATGTCGCCTACATGCCATAAGTTAATACATCCACCGGTAGGATTATTAAATGAGAAGTAACAACACAGAAATCGAGTGAGAGAGAGAGAGAGAGAGAGAGAGACATTCTCATACGCTAATTAAACGACCTCAACAGAAGCGACCTTTCTGAAGTTGCCAATTCGGCAGAAGTAGGCCAAGCGCTGTGTGGTGACTTTACGGAGAAGTCCTGCACCTGTCGTGTGCAGGTGGAAACGAAACTTGTAAACCATTGACGGCGATAATGACGTCAATGGTGTCAGCTAGACTTGGACCCTGATGTTGACTGGAGCAGGATTCAAAGGATAGCCGGAACGTGCGCACGCTCAGTAATAGAATGACTTTAGTTTTCGTAGGTTCGAAAAGAAGAGATAACAAATGAGGAGCAGGTAGCAGCCGTAGTAAGAGACCATAGTGGCAGCTGTCTTATCACTGAAGACGGACCGCTCAGCGCTGATGGCAGCAGTCGGGCCTCAATAGCCTTCGAAATTCCTCTGGCCAGCCCGCCCTCCTGATAAGTTTTTTAAAGCTTTGCCTCATGCGGACCAAGAATGCTGTTTGCGCTTGGGAAAGTTGTGCGGGCAGCAGTAAGAACAGCCCCGCCTAGGTCACACCGAACATGCTGCCATAAGGGAAGCTATAGCCAAAAAGGAGCGCGCGAGCCGACACGCGACTGTTGGCATACGCACATTGGCACAGACGGCACTATACACAGAATATTTTCACACGCCGCCACATATGTGCACATGTGTGGAGATCTACAGAGAGGTTTAACTATTTCTCTAGATCGAATCTGGTCCTTCTGGCTCTTTTCGTTCGTTCGTTCGTTTACTCTGCTAACTCCATCCTTTATCCAATGATCGTTTTTGAATTCGTCAATATGTATGTTCGCCCACTTGGCAGTTCGGAAGGCCGTTCAGCCGTTCCATGCGCTTTGCTTGTCAAACGGAATCCTTTTTAGATTGAAAAAAAAAAAAAAAAAGAGAAACCATTGCTGTGAATTTTGTTGGCTTTTGGTATCGTTACTGTTAAGGGCGTCACTTGGCCTCGAAGGCCAAAACGTTAACGATCCCTATTCACGCTTGAACACGCGACCGAGCTGCCAGGTTATTTCGCAGCCAGGTTAGTTTTTCACACTGGCGCGTCTAGGTATATCAATTCAGTTTTGTCCTAAACATTTTTTAACTAAAAACTGCTAGCGCCATCATTACACCGAACTTTAACCCATACGACAGAAACAAATCGTACAAGAATAACTATATTATGTTTCACTTTGCGACACACATACGGCGTTTTGTGTACGAATCAGCGGAGTATCCGTGTTGAATAATTGATCCCGCCGACTACATTTCAAACGTATAGTAAATGTCTTTAGGCTTTATGTAACTATACTTTGGGAAGGTCTGAATATTACCAAATAATATTATCTAACTAAGTACGCATTGCAAACTATTTCGACCGGTGAAGTTCTACGATTTCGTTTGGCAATTTCATCATTATCTAAACCAGGAGGTGTTACAAGTAGTTCGACATCTAGTTTGTGAAACTAAATGAACTTTACTACAGAAACCGTCTTCTACAAAACCTCTTATGTTTGTCGGCTAGCTAAAGATGCCTTTTCTGTTAAATAGTTCTGGTCGATGTTTCTTGGTGGTAGGCGATATTCGAGGCAGTCATAGCTGACGATTTTTTTTCCGTTTTTACAAAACACATAGCATCACCTTTGTGCCACAGAGTGTCGAACATATTGATTAACTTGCATATTATTGTTGTATGCGATCTGTTTGTGATCGACAGCTTTAGAAATTGCTTTATTTGCTTGAATTTCCGTCGAGTTTCGCAGATGGATTGAGTTTTCGGTTCGAGTTTGCCTTAATTCGTGCGCCAGCCAAACATCAAGCTTCTTTTGGTAGCCGGCTTCCTTTAAATGGTGTTAAACTGTTTGGTAGCAGATGTTAAGTTCTTTGGCTACACATGTATCAATTTTGCCTACCTTTTTTCGAAATTAATGATTCACTACGGACAACATCTTTCACATTGAAATCCCTAGAACGAAAGCGACAGAACCATCTTTAGGCCATTTTTTTCCAGTAGGCATCTTGGCCATACACAGTACATTATTTTTTTAAAGCCTGAATAATATTTGTGCCTTTCTCGCAATAAAATTGTAAAATCTAGCGACTATAAATTTGTAGAAATTTTGCGTATATTCAAAGCAATCGTCAGTCTGAAGCACATCTACCACTATCAAACATCGGCCTTTAAATAACATCGACGTCCACTCATATTACTACTAGGACTTTGAAACAGCTATTTAGAATATAACTCAATATAATGTTAAGATACGCATTCTATCACACACAGTGGGTTTGATTTAGCCCTTGCTGGGATCTAAGCGGAAATCTACAAACGGCGACCGCAGTTTCTGATATGGGATAGATACTGGTGCTTCTGGGTGTGGCGTACTGGATTTCTGGGCGTTGTTTGTCGTCCTAACTCATTTCCGACTTGGCGACTAACTTCTATCGGTCTGCCCCATCGCTTACGACGTGCTTACCGGCACATGTGAACTTCGCCTATGGATTCGTTTCGAGATGAGTCTAACCCAGACGTTCTATGGAATCACGTTGGTTGTACTCTGACTGACGCTAGAATTAGCGTCGGCAAGACGATAAGCAGATGATATGTCAGACGTCTAAGGAGTATCGAAATGTTTTTTTTGCAAATCGGCGAATAAAACGCAATATGTTAGGCCGTTCAAATATTCACCAGCGTAGGGCAACACCGCCTATGGCCTTGGCTGTTGCATTTGTACTTAGCGTAAACATATCCACTTAAAATAATAGCTAGCCGTTCATAAGCGGAAAATCGAAATTGACATTGTGCTAAAGATAGCAGCGTTTAGATAAGATAACTTACTGACCACGCCAGTCCTGGCTGTATTTACCCTGTGTTCACACGCTGATCATCTACGGGTCAAGGCCGTGTGCGACACGTATAACCAAGTCCCATTAATCAAAGGCTGTAAATACTGTAAAGTATTTACGACCATCATCAGTGCAGCGTCGGTAGTCCAGCTACGTCTCATCTGGAAATTACCTATATTTGCCATTAATCAGTCCCATTTTTGGTAATGGATAAATAGAAATTCTTGGCTGATGCTTTTTACCTATAGCATATAAACGTTTAGAATGATCTGAACAATATGAATAAGTGCACTTGCGTGGTGGTCGCCTATCTCTTTGATAGAAACCTCATATCGTCATTAATTTGCATGCTCGTTAGTCGAGAAAAATTCTCGCTCTGATAAAACCAGTAACAACGTACTTAATTAATTTTATGTTTTTTCGTTCTCTCTCACTGAAGTTCAGGTGCAAGCCTACTTACTTTGACCTATACTTCTATTCACGATCTAAAACTTGCTAGTGAGGACATAGGGCTTTACCGGGTATCCATGTTACCTGAGACACATGATTGCCGCAAGGTTTTTCACGTTGGTAGCGTGCCGTCTTCGTCCTCGCCAATACAGCTGTTGCGAATCTGAGGTTTGAGGCCGACTAGAGCGCCTTACGCTGTTTTACTGTGCGCTACCCCACCCCCCTCCCCCCCTCAACTATTCTATGCAACCTCCATGGGGTCCGTTGGTTACGAAACGGCTCGGCCACCATTTATCTGGAATGGCAGTAAGTACAAAAAAATTACGTTATTAATCGTAGTATGACAGAATTAAGTGTGACAATATCAGAAGAGTGTAGCCTTAAAAAAATCGTTCTTTAAAAAGAACTTCTTTCGTAAAAGTTTAAAAAAGTGCTCCTGGTTTTGAAAATTGGCTCAATTTTGTACAGTGACTGTTTTTTTTTGCTACATAAGCCTAACGCTGTTATCGACGGATCTAACTACTCTGACACTGAAAATGATTGATTGATTTTCTCTGATTCAGCTGAATCTATCTAGCGATTAGATTACGCATTACTTTTGTTCACAAGCGGCTCTGGAGAACTCAGCAGTCAGTAGTGCAGGGCTCGCAACCTATGACAGATAACATCGCATAAAGGAACTGTACGAAATATTTCTCCCACACAGGTAATGTCGTTTCATCAACGAGAAACAGCTTTTGATCTGTCCGGTATCTAGACGGTGCGTCAAGTCAGTAATTATTTCGGATGTTTACTCGGCCAAATCAGCAGGTAAGTTGAGTATTATGGAGTACGCCCTCGTAGTTTTGTTGACAACAGCAACTCTAGACATTAAAAAATAATTATTTTTAAAAGGTATTTTAACAGTTCTCTAAATGATTTCTGGTTGCTAGTTTTTTCCTCCTACCGTTCTGTTGGATAATTATTCTTCGACGTTACGACAACTCCTCGTGAGAGCTGAGTGCTACTTCGACTACACTTCAGCCTCTTAAAATGACAGCAACAAAAATAACAAACTCTGGAGAATAGAGTCAGATCAACAACAAAGGGGCAAGCCAAGCTGAAACATGGCTAGTATGGTCAATAAAACCTAAAAGATAAATAGCACAAACGACGCCCTTTTGAAATAAAGGTTTGGACGAGATCGCTCGCAAAGATCTGGACTGATGTGGACTACCTTGCATTCAAAGCGAAGGACCATGATGTCCGTCCTCAATCGTCGCTATAGGTTGCTAACGGAAAAATCATTATGAAAACGAACAGACATCGTTGCTCCTCTAAAAGTGAAGTGTGACGTTGTCTTTAGCCGGTTTCGAATGAGGTTGTTTCTCATTGCCTCTATTAGCTTACATGCCACAATTAACAACTACAGCTTTTCGTTGAGAATGATCCCTAATCATCTATTTTACGTGCTTTTAACTTTCAAGCCAGAAGTCACGCTGGACAACGCAACGAAAATTACGATAGAAAAATCAAAGCTTTAATTTTTTGATCGCTATCGACACTGTGTTAATGTTCTATATGAGAGCGTATTTTAGACGACACATGTTACTGTCTAAGTTTAGGTTTCGGCCATCAACTGTGTGTATGTCCTTAAATTTGGCTGAATTAATGAAAACTGAGTTTCACCGCAGGCTTACCTGCCAAATATTTTACACTGAATATAAATACAGACTATCACTCTGTTCGTGACACCGATGATCAAGTGTAATTATCTAGGCCCATTGATGCGATAGAACTTCTATCTCTTAATGGACATAGACTATATCCATGAACGTACTTTGATTTCATCAATTCCTTGTTAGGCGGATCTACCGCATGCAATCAGTGTATAGGACAAGCGTTACACCTCAACTTGCCATTAGCCAAGCCAAGATCGTATGAGTTTTTCTGGCTTGGTGTATTGTTGACTTTATGACTTTGATTACTCCTATATTTATGATGGCTTTTAGAACGTATGACTGTTTTGCAAACACTCTTATAGCGATATTCATACAGGATGCAAGGCAGCCGTGCTACGTTTAGCTATCTCCTAGTCAATTTCGATGTCGTTCGACCACTCTCTGTTGAACTGAGCGTCTGAAGCTCAATCTTGGGTCATCGCTATAATGCGCCTCAGCACCAAAGCAAATGGATCGGATTATTAGTTGATGAATTAAAATGAAAGAGCGTCAAATCTGAACGCGTCTCTGGAGCATGGTGTGCTTGCTGATATCGTACTGTTTTTTCTCCTGTTTCGAGGAACGTTAAGATCGTGCTCAGACTGCACAAACATGAATAATAAATCCTTCAACGTGAACTTCTGAATTTCAAGGATAGCTAGCTAAAACAAGATCGATTTGCGCAAATCCTTGATCTCGGATTTGTATGAAGGACACTACAGAAAAAAAACTACTAACCTAATCGTAAACAGTTTTTTTTCTCGGTGAACAAGTTTGTGTGTCTTTTCTGAAGCTTCATTACAGTTTAGCTTAAATAAATATAAACCTTCAAAAGAGTAAAACACTACGGACAAACGATCACTGCCGCCCGAACTCTATTTCCCACTGAGTGAAAGGACTAGGTACACCCACAAATGCCTCTCAAAGGATTATCGTGAATATCCTGATGACATGGAACGACAGCCAGCCGAGCATGCAGACGTTTTAACAGAGACGGGAAAAAGGCAGGCTTAAGGATCGACTCGTAAAACATCCCCAAGTAAACAACATTATTACATATAAGATATGTTTACAGTTTATACGTTTTCTGTGTCGTTCGTCACCGTATGCTGTCAGACCATTTGTAGAGAAAGAAAGAGAGAAGCGAATTTATTTTTACCACTAGAACTATTGAAACATGGATGTTTCTAATATTTCAGCTTGCCATTTCTAGTCGCCATCAACACCTTTGCACTCTTTCTTACATGTCGAATAACCGATGACAAAGCGACGGCGGTTTCTATTGGAATCGAAAATCATCACTATGTTGGATTATTTCCAATGTTTTTGTTCCCTGTACCCCTTCTCTTCCGTAGACTTTCTAGCCCAACGGGCTGCTCAGCTCGTAACACTTACAGACAAACATTCACACTACCAACGTAGTTTGCAATAGACCAATCAGAGATAGATACATACATACATACATACATGCCGTTACATTTTACTAAATCGTGACAAGGTTGGCTCGGGATAATAAAAAGCAATTACCCGCGGAGCTTTATGGTTGAAACGGCAGAGCGATTCACGCGTTTCTTCTATTGACACGCCGCCGCCAACCCGCTTATTCTACTTGATGATATAGCGGATGAAGACGGAAGTCACCGTAGAGCATAGACCAAGCATCGACCTATTATTTTTCATGACGCAGATTTGTGCTCCTCGCTGTCAAATAAGTAAGCTCGCCTTCTAGTAAGAAGAAAGAGCTTCATAAAGAGTATTTTGCCCACGGTCTTTTGCTTCGTTTGCTTTATACGACTGACTTACGGTTAGTTCTGCTGGGCCGTCTCAAATCGATAATCGGTTAAGAGCGCTAAAATTACAAGGGTTATCTTCAAATAACGCAACATTAGCTAACTGATAAATTCACCGATTATTTCATTGACTCCTATTTCAAATGTGCGCGGGAGCTGTTCCTGCTGCAATGACTTCCACTGCCTTCAGCACCGTGTTTCAAGTGACTCGACTCTTGACCTTCACTAGGCCCTGCTTGGGTCATGCCTTCATTACTGCAAACAGTAAAAACTAAATGTACGAAATGTATGCCCGATTTCAGTCTGCCGGCCTTCAGCGGAAAACGAATTGCGATTACTCCAGTCGCGAGTTTGTGCGTCCTCACGTATGACCCTCACCGAGACACAATCGTACGGAAGAGTTAGGATAAAATTTATTGCGTACGTAGCAATTATCGCTCGAAAGGCAGCTTCGATGTCGACCTTATTAAGAATGTCAAATAAGTAAACCATGGGGCAGCGAACACTAGCTACAGGCAAGTCTGCCACGACGACCTGTGCTGTCCTATCGTGGCCACTTCGCAAAATCTAGGTGTTATTAAAGTCGGTATCGATTTAAAGCCAAAGGCGGGGAAAAGTGTGCATTTAGCGGCTACCGTTGCAAAAAATAGCGAGGCTAAAGTCTTGTGATGTCGTGAGGAGTGTTCCCCGGAGGCGTTCGTTCGGAGGCCCATTTAAATCTTGAAAACAAAAAGTAACCTACTTGAATAAATACAGCTAACAAGGTTCGAATTCATCGAAATTTATAAATTATTCGTGTGTACTAAGACCACTTCGTAAGTGGGGATGTTGCTTTAGAATAAATAATACGTTTGCTTTTCGCAATTTAACCGAACACTGAATGGAGAAAGGTATGCCCCCGATGTGCACAGTTCGGACAATTTAAGGACATTCATAAATTGATGTTGTACAACAAACGCGTTGTACGTAAATCACCATGACGAGTGTATTTTCTAGGTGTAGCTGGGTACTAACCGTTGTATCGTTCTTTCGGCGTCTATACAAGAAATAGCAGACGACAATAGCCTCTCTGCTAAGGTCAAACAAGTCTCGAAGGGTCGCTATAATAGAGCCAAGCAATTTAAACGCGCGTATATTCTAGCAGAAATCAAATTAGCATGTTTGAATAACGAACCAACTTACGTATATGTGTGTTTTTTTTTTAAATAAATATGTGTTCTTTGCTCTGTCTTGAGAATTAATCGAGCATAGCCCAGAGCTCCGTTGATAGCAGGCGATCAATAAGGCGAGCTGTTTTGGTCGACTTTAAATTTTAACAAGGTTTTCGTTAATGTATTGAGTGAAATCGCATCATTTTTTTTTTTGTACTTTATATCTGTGCAATGTAAAATAGAGGAACTGAATGCAAGAAATTTCCCTGTATGCCATATCTTATAGCGGAAGGTGAACCTTCATCACTGAACGCGAGGCTGCTAGACAGCGGTCAACAAAAACGTGCCATAACAACTTTCTTTCGTCGTTTTAAGAAGAACTACAAGTTACCTGAAAAGATTTCGTTGATTAAATTGTATATAGTAGCCCGTAGCTGTATATACCTCTTTTTGTCGAGAAGTCAGGAATTAATCCTACCACGTACGGTGCACAGATTGATTTTTCCTTAGACATAATTTTGTATATTCAATAAATATATATTCAAGCCACTGTGACAACGAGGCTAGATCTTGATATGAAATAACTAAAGACTAAAACGAACGAAAAATAAGGCAGCGGTATTCTTCATAAACAGGGGTTAACAGAACATTGAA